AGAAGCCCAATACAACACTTGACTCTTTTAGAGACAGAGTTCGTTCTTGCTCAGGCTGGTCACCAACCAGTGAGCTCAGGCATTCTCCCGGGCTCAGCCTCCCAGAGTGCTAGATCACAGATGTGAGTCATGGCACCTGGTCTTTAAAATATTTCTTAAAATGCTTTTGAAACTTTCATGTGGTGTGGGATTTGGTAGTTGGTGGCATTTCTTAGGCCTACTTGATGGAATTTGTTGTTCCAATAGTAAATTGATATTTTCCCATCAGGCCACTTTTCTGCCTTTTTGAGAGTTTCTAAGAAAATAATTTTAATTTACTGAATGTACTGTCACTGGTGACTTTAGTGGGGAGTATAGAACTGCTAAAAGGAAGTATGTGGGATATAGATAATGCATTATTTCTCTATAAACTAGTCTAGTTAATTTCAATACCTTCTTCATCCAGATATCAGATATCTACTAAACCACATATCTCAAATGCACATAAGGATTGAGAAATTCTCTGTTTTAATGAAGACTTTTAAAGGAACGTAAGGTGAATTATCACTGAGAGAAAACGTTACCTTTCTAGATGTCACCATTTAGTAGAACGGCTAAAGCAGGAATAAACCAGCTGCAGAGCTCTATGGGACAGTATGGAGTATACGCACACCACCAAGGAGTCAAGGTGGAGAGAAAGATTCGGACTTGAAAATATCTAAAAATTTTATTTTAATTAAATTTGAGAGCAACATTAAATAATGGTTGGGATTTCAAAATATAGAGATCGAGAAGAAAAGTCACCAGGAAAGAAATTCCTCTTCAGGCAGAAACACCAACATGAGAAAAGGAAAAAAGGTTAAGAAAACAGTAATATCTGGGCGGTGCCTGTGTGGCTCAAAGGAGTAGGGCGCCGGCCCCAGATACTGGAGGTGGTGGGTTCAAACCCAGCCCCGGCCAAAAACTGCAAAAAAAGAAAACAGTAATATCACTACAACTAAGAAACAGTACTGATTGCTGTCAGACACTGTGCTAAGTGGTTTATAAGCCTCGTCTCTGAACTTTGAGATAGCCCTTCTTTTCAGCATCTGATAGAATGTCCTTAACCAGTTCAAGATCACGGAACTATTGAAAACAGTGATCAATTGCACAAATAAAATTGCAATATTTCTAACATTAAAAAATCAGCAAAATAAATTATATTATGTTTTGCTGATAACTATTTCAATCACAATTATTGCAATTAAATAAAAAATGCAATAATATTTGTTCTCAAAATGGGGATTAAGCTGTACAATACTGGCTATATTTCCTCCTCATTAGAGGATTTCCCAGAATACCCAATGATATCATAGTTCTCAAAGGCCTTGATTATTAAGTCCCAAATACTAGTCCATTTAGGTGGCCAGGTGGGCATACACATTTCAGAGATAACTGACGAAACTGTTCTTAAGAATGTTTTAATGTCTTAACTAGAATGGTGACTAAAGCCCAGTGGGAGCAGACCTGAGAGTCAGGTGATCAGGGAAGCTTTGGCCATAGGCTAGGGAATAGTCCGTGCAGACTGCTGATTGAGCAGGCATGTCCACTCTTCCTGATGGGATGGAGCAGTCCTGGAATATCACCAATCAACATAGGGAGTTAGACCTGAGGAAAGCTAAAGCTCATCTGGAGCACTGGGGTCCAGGGACAGGAAACCCATCTTAAAAGAAACTCAAGCTCTCAGAAGGCACAGCACCCTCACTACAGGAATGAACAAAGCTGATAATGTTTTTGAAGCACAAACAAGCTATTTATAATATGGATATTTTTAGTCATATCTAGTCCCTGAGTTTAAGGGATGGGTTCAACGTAATGATGGGAATTTTAAGTGGCTATTACTTAGTTTAAAGACACATCGTAGAAAACAAAGCTAATGATCAGAAGAAGTAGTTACTACAGAGAATCTCAAAATTTGAACCAGGAAAGCTACTAGTGATACATAGGTATCAGGTAAGTATCCTACCATCGATAACAAAAACTAAATATAACAAAGTATTTATTGTGGTATTATTTTGCCCCTTTTCTCTGGGGGAGAAAATTTTGCCTGAGTTTGTGTGTATGTGTACTTGTTTATGTAAATATTTGGGGTTGAGGGACATGAAATGGGAAGAGAGCTGATGAAGATCCATGAGACAGTTCTCAGGATACTTTGTACGGACACTATCAGTTCCTTGTCCCTAAGTCACTACAGTGAGATTTTTTAGAAATTATTTCCTCTTCAGAGGAATTTGTTGTAGCAAGATTTGACATTTAAAAATTGTGTATTATGAAAACAGGAAGCAATAAAACATCAGAGAACAACATAATGGACAGGAAACCCATCACATAAAATTTTTTGCCAATCAACATATTTATCTTACAAATTTCTGTTTCAATATTATCCACAAAGTAACCCTGTAACTTCATAAATCAGCTCACTGCATTTTTTTTATATGCTGTTTCATAATTATACAGAGAAAATGTCTAATAAAAGCCAAATCACCAAATTTATTTTTCTTAGTGTGCTAAAATGTTGGTTAAAATATTCTTTGGAAAATAGTGTTTCATTTTTCATGCATTATACAGAACATTTTATGTGGCACTGCCTGCTGTTGTAATTGGATATAGTTTTATGCCTAAGGCTAGGAATCACTCACTTATAAATATGCTGTTATAAAAAATACCATATTGGATTGTTAGTGTAATGCAAATGTTTTTTTGAAATGTAGGTTGTTTTCCAGTCTCAGTATTATCACAGAGCTTACTCATCCAGCCAACATGAGATTCATGCAATTCAGAGCCAAAGACTGTTATTCTCTTGCTCTTTCAAAACTGGAAAAGGTAAGACTTGATGTTGTAAAAGTTGGATTTAACCATTTGGGTTCAAAGAATAACTACAGAAATATTTTTACTAATGTCTTATGAGGTAGTAAAAATAAAAATGCTGTTTTGAATTTTTATTTGGGGAATAAAATTCTAATTTATACCTTTGTTAAAAATGTGAGGTGATGGATTAGAACCATTTCTATCACTAGTAAATATGATACAGATATTTTGTAGTATCATTATTAATCATAAATTAAAAATATAATTTTGAAAGAATTAAATGCAATAGAAATGTATGACCTAACTTATAATGAATGCCAGTTATGTTAATAATATTCTAAGTGATTTTCTATTCATTCAGTCTGTATTTACAAAGTGCTTTGTAATTTGCAAAAAACCTTAAGGTCTTAGAAAGGCTATAGGCTTTGTTGAAAGGTGATTTCCCAAATGTCACTAACACATTCTGAGACAAAGCCAAGTGTATTGCTTCCCTAGGTAAGGGAGATGGCCTCTTCAAGAAACCTTTGATCATGCCTGACAGTAAAAGGGAAGAAAAGTAAGGTTGAAATTTACTAGGAATAAGAATTTTGATTTAATGAGGGTATTTCCAAGCAGACACTTGATTCAGGAGACAGTGGAATTGCAAAGTCATGTTATATGAAGAGAAATATTTGGTTTCTACCTTCATTGTCCAGGCCGAGTGTGGGGGTAGATGATTTTTGTATTTAGTTATCATTTAATATTTAATATTCCTATGCTGGGAAAATTGTATGTAAAGGGAAAAAATGATTCAATCTCATACATGCAAAAATATCTTAATCTAGGCTGCCTTCATTGTTGATAAGAGGTAGAGAAAGTAATGCCTTATACGTTTCTGATTAGTGCTTTCTTTTATGTACTGATTTTATTTGATTAGGTCTCACAGCAGTTGCTGACCTAACTACTGGGAGAGATACCGTTGAGCAAGGCTGTTTCTGCGCTTTTGTTTATTTATTTCCAGTTTTAAAGCTGGTTATGTACATTATAATAGCAGATCCTTATCCGCTCTTTCATATGCATAGGAAAATTGATTTGGCCTGCTTCCAAATGTGGAAACTGAGTTTGAGACCAAGTTAAATAACTTTTTTCTAGATTACATAGAAATCAAGTCAATTGAGTAAGGGAAATTCAAAGTCATTTATGCCCATTATGCTTCAGAACTTCTATTATGCTACATAACAACAAAGAAGGGGTGGCAAGCAGAGCTAAATTGGCACAGCATCTACAGCAAACCCAGTAAGTAGAAATTTAGTTGGAACTAGTGCTGGCATGATGTAGTATGGTCTCCTTCAAGACCAGTGAAGTAGAGTCACCTGGTGATGAAGAAGCTGGGGTCCATAGTCAGACTTGTCCCATTCTCCACTATTTTTGAGGAATGGAACCTGGGTAAATTATTTACCCATCGATAGCCTTGTAATTCTTATTTGGAAAATAGTTATAGGATCATTATAAGATTATATCACATACTCTAGCAAAACACTTAGCCAGCATTTGGCACATAGAGCAAAGCCTCCATAGTTGACCACTTCCCCACATTGACCACCTCCTCAAGTTGACCTGATTTTCATAGATTGACACACATCACATGTGCATGTCAGAGCAGTAGGCCTAGTTCCTTATGTTGGCAACCTGCATATTTTGATTGTTTGTTACAATCCTTTGGGTATTACAGGTTCTACTGTAATTCATATCAAATAAACGTACTAAAAGCATGATTATAAGTTTTTTATATAGTCACTAATAAATATTTCATTTTGTATATTTAGTTTGGTGCCAAGCCAGTTAGTTGATGTAGCAAGGTCATAATTGTGGAAGATACTTTCAGTAGTTGTGAGTGTATGTGTCTACATGGTTGTGTCTTTATTGCCTTAAGGGGGAAAAAGAACAATATAGGGGATACTTGTCAGTCAATTACATCCATCTATTTATCCAAAGGAAAAAAAAACAAAACTTTTCATAACTTTTCATTAAATAAGAAGGTGCAATTTAGAGCCAGAAACCTATGCTAAACTCTCAGAGACGGAGATACATGTCACCATTCTCCTTGAAGTTCATATTTCAAAAGGATAGCTCCAAGGCCAGTAAGAAAGTCATTCCTGGCATGAAAGAGTCTCTAGGAGTTTATATAGGTTTTCAAAGATTTGCATCCATACCGAAATGACAGAGAAGAGATTTACAACTTCAGGTTTACTAAAGGACAGTCTCTAGTACATTTCCAAGTCATTCATGAACAGAGAGGCTGGAGGAGGTAGAATATAAATCAATGGTTTTCAGAGTTGTGCAACCTTTCTTTTTCTCTGATGAACTTTAGAAGAAAAAGAGTTGTCATGGACCACACATTAAACAAACAAAGACTAATAAAAGCTGATTAGCAAAACAAAAGGTCTGTGTGTGCTTTTAGTGATATCCAACACCACAGATAAGCAAAAAATGTCCTCACAAAATCAGCATGCAGCTACACAAGCCAAAAGCTGGACACCCCTGGCAGATGTAATGAAGGCAAGGAAAATAAGTTTGATCACTCTTACCCATTTTATCCATTAAAATTATGGTTTTATCACATAGAAACTTCTTAGTCTTCTGTATTTGGGGTCACTTCCCCGCCAAGATAAAGGTGTGTTGGAGTCCTAACCCTCAATACCTCAACATGTGTTCTTATTTGAAAATGGGGTCTTTACAGAGGATCAACTTCAAAGGAGGACTTTAGAGTGGGCCCTAATTCAGGGCTCTTGACATCACAGAGATGAGCCCACATAAAGGGAAGACAACATGAATAGAAACCAAGAAGAGAGTCTTCTATAATCTAAGGAGAAAGGCCTGCAACAAATCCTTCACTTAGTCCTTCAAAGGGACCAATCCTTCCAACAGCTTGATTTCATACTATAAGCCAATAAATGTCTGTTGCTTAAATCACCCTGTTGATAGTACTTTGTTGTTGCAGCCCTATAAGACCATTCACGTGTCATCAGTGATATGGTAACTATTCATTTACAAACAGGGCTTTTTTAATCAATAATATTTCCTGGTATGAAAATACAGCTAACTTGCTGCTTAATTATATTTCTGTATTTGCATTCTGAGTACCATGAGACATTTTTAGGATTAGAAAACTGATCTTATTTTTTTCCAATATTTAAATATATTTTTAATACCATCATCTATTTGGCTGGAATATATGTGGATTTTTATTCTTCTAAACATAATTAGGAATATCATTTTACTCTGCCTGCACCTTCCTGGGTGAAGCCTTCATCATTTTTAAATCCATCACCATTAAGATTTTTAATTAGGAACAAACACCAGCTTGACTGCTTGTAAACTTTTTTTTCTACTTAGTGGTTCTCATTAAACTTAAAAAGTAATAGGATTTGTGAGGTGTGGAATATAAGACTGTGTTGGCCCCTATTGCTTTACTTGTGTGATAATCATGCTTTGGTGTTTTCTTGTAGACATTGCATTTTAATAAATATATAATCCCCACGGGGATCAGGATTAATACCCTGTAAAGATTCTCTGGAAGTAACAACTCACTGCAGAGTTTCCACTGTAAGGGAGAGAATATTTCTCACTCATTGCAAGGTTCATAACTGAGACCTCCATAATAAAAGACAAGCTAACAGGGGAAAAGCATAATAGATTTATTTTACCTAAGTTTTATATGACACAGAGTCTTCAAAAATGAAAACTCAAAGAAATAGGAAAACTAAAAATACTCAAAGAAATAGGAAAACTGAGTATTTTTATGCTTAAGTGTGATGAAGAGCAGACTTGAGTAAAGGGAGTGTGGTCTAATGGGGGGTAATTTGCAAGGCTTATTTTCAAATTCCTCTTTGTGTCTGTGTGTCTTCAGAGATGAGGACATTCTCTTCCTCTGGGTGGGTATAGGGAAAACTCCTTTGGAATGAGAATCATATGACCTATGTTCAGGAATAGGTCAGTTAGTGCTTATGGACTGTTTCAGGGAGGAGTGAGAAGGTCCTGCTTCCACTATTTTCACAAATGCCAAGGTGATATAAATTGTAGTAATGTGTTCTGAATCCCATTACCACAATATCTTCCTTTATGAAAAAACCGAAAACTTAGAGGGATCATTGATTTATAACATGATGTGAAGAATGCTTATGAAGATCCCCCTATGTTTTTGTTGAGGAATGTATGTATTTCTTGATATTTCCTTAATTATTTTTTTCTAATTGCTATCTTGAGTTTGTCCATTGTTTTCTGTTTCATCTGTCTCTGAACTCAAGTTTTAGTTTCTTTTAACTGTAAGATCATATCATCCTCAAACAAGGTTAATCTGATATCCTTCTTTCCAATTTGGATGCCCTTCATATCTTTTTCTTGCCAGAATTTTCTCTCTAGAACTTCCACTATTATGGTCAGTAAAAAGTAGTGAAAGAGGGCATCTTTTTCTTGTTCCATATCTCAGTGAAAAGGCTTTCAGTGTTTCTTGATTCCATATAACGGTAGCTGTGGGCTGATCTATCATATAAGGATTTTTCTCATGTTGAAGTATGTTTCAATTTGTTGAGAGTTTTTATCAAGAAAGAGTGTTGAGTTTTATTGAATGCTTTTTTTGCATCTTTTGTAATAATACGTTGTTTTGTCCTTGATTCTCTCGACATGATGTATCATGTTTGATACACATATATTGAAGCATCCTCCCACTCCTAACTGAATCCTACTTGATAATGGCAAATGATCTTTTCGATGTGTTGTTGAATTTGATTTCTTAGTCATTTGCTTAGCATCTGTGTTTATCAGGGATATTGTCCTATAGTTCTTTTGTTGTTTTCCTGTCTAAACCTAGTTTTGGTAACGGGGTAATGCTGGCAATGAGTTGGAAGTGTTACTTCAGCTTCAAGTTTTTGAAATATTTCGGGTAGAACTGTTATTAGTTTCTTATATGTTTGGTAGAATCCAACAAGCTTAAGGTTTTCTTTGATGAGAGGCTCCTTTGATTATACCCTCACTGT